AAAAAAAAAAAAACATTAGTATTCAGTTTTCATATTCTGTCAACAAAAAATTATTTATATCTAAAATCAAATAATAATTAATAATAATAATAATTAATTAATTAATTAATAATAATAATTATAATACATCAAGTTATAAAGCTTATAAACTTTTTTCTGATGAATTTTACATCTCTTATGAAAAAATATTTTGAGCAAATACTAGTAAATAATCAAACAATATATTTTCTATATTTAAACTTAAAATGAATTAATAGTGAATCTTTTCTTTAGCTGTACAATATTTTTGTAAAATATTATTAATATTTCGACTTATTAAAAAAATATTTCCACTTTTCTGCTTATTACCATTAAATGAAATGTAGTACTTTACTAAAAAGAAGCAATAGCAATAACTGTGTATATTTTATCAAAAATAATTTAAAATATTAGTAAAAACTGTGATTATTTCTGTATTTTTTAAAATCTAACACTTTTTTGAACTAAATCTTAAATGCGAAAAAATAACTCTTAAATATATTAAATCTTAAACACATGTGCAACTAAATTTTGAATGTATTTTTTAAATTAAATAAAGTCATAATTAAAAAGTGTAATGAAATTTTTTTAGTTCACCTGGCTCATGTTTGGAAGATTTTCGTGCTACACCATTCATTGAATGCAACGGTGCTCGAGGTAGCTGTCACTATTTTGCTAACAAATTTAGTTTCTGGCTAACAACAATTGAAGATGATCAACAATTCAGGGTACAATTATTTATCTATTTTTTGATTTAATTCCAATCAATCATTAACAATTTTTGATTTACTCATGATTAGTCAACATTATATGAAAACTTTAACATTATTTCATTTGATTAAAATAATTAATCAAATAATATTCAGATTCCTGAAAGTGAAACTCTAAAATCGGGAAGTTTACGAACACGGGTCTCCCGATGTCAAGTATGCATAAAAGCTACCGAATCCAATCGTCGATTACGATACAAGCAATAGCATCAATTCAAAATTTCATTTCTAGGACAATTGCCATCACAATTAATTTGAAAATAATTAATTAAGCCAACGGGGAATAAAAAATTTTTAGAATATGAGAAAACGAATATAAACACAATTATCAATTAATACTGCTTATATAATAATATTATGCTGCCAATATCATCTTATCTGCCTTATCGCTTTCTATCCTCAATTTATTTCTTTCAATTGTTTAAGTTTAAAATTATTAAAAATTTTTATCCTCTAATTAAAAAATATTCATCATATGCTGCCATCGATTTGATCAATATTACAATCAACTGTCATCATTTTATTCTATCTCATCCCTTCGCTTTAATGGCTAATTAATCCTAATGAAATTATTGCTACATTATTAAGTAATTAATTTTAGCTAAATATTATCACTATTATTATTTCATTTTGATTCATTAAGTAAACGAAAACTAATCCTATCATTATAAAATTTTTGGCAATTAATTTATTGATTTCTAGTAAAAGATCATTATTTTTAATTGAAAAATATTAAGATTAGCTATTTACGCATCCCTCTTACTTCTTTTTTGTGATCTATTTGATCAGATAATGTTTGATATTACATGCTGCCTAAATACATACTTTCATTTGTCTTTTATCATTTAATATGCAAATGTAAATGCTCGTTGGATTTTTTTATTATTATACAAATCTTTTTCAAAAATATTAACAACAAAATCTATTTCAATTGTCCGCTTTTATTTTAAATAATTAATGAATCCATATTAAAAGAAAATGTCAGATAGAACGGTGCCACACTTTTGTTTGATTCATTTTACTTCATTGCCTAAAATTTTAAATAGTACAATAAATATTTGCTTTGTTTGTTTAAATTCATTAACTTGATTATCAAATTTCCCTCCAAGTTATGTATTATATTTTTATGCACATTTGACAACCTTCAAACATATGTCTACATTAGAATGTGTACAGCAAACATGACATTACCATGCAATTTTTTTTTCTTCTCTATAAAATTATTTTTATTTAATTTATTTCTAAAAATTTGCAAGCTTTTACTTTTATACAATATACGCATTTGCTTAAAAATTTGACTTGATAAACACTTCAAAATTATTCATTTTCTCACACTTTTGTCAAATTTTGGCTACTAAGCAGAAAATTTTGAATAATTCATGCATTGCATTTACTGGTGGAGGGAAAAATACTTTTGATTGTATTAAATATAAACCAAATAATCATTTATACGATCAATAAATTATTGAGATAAAATTCTAGGAAAAATTATCTTCAGTGAGTTTAAATAACAAACTCCTGAATCACTGTGCTGCAGATTGGCAAAGATTTGAAGTCTACAACCGGTTACAAAAGTGCTTTATCATTTAAAAATACAAAAACTGTAAATTGAGAGCAGCTATGACGACGGATTTGACTATGATTCGTAAATTTGTGGTATAAAATATTTTTTTCTACACATAAGCAATAGTTTTTATCCACACTTTACATAATATATTTAGATAAAAGAAAGTAAATTATTTAGTAAATCTACTGATCGAGATTTGATCCAAACTGATTCAATATCCTTGCTGATTCATACTGAATTATATTTGATAAGAATAACACATAGTATGTCATTCGTATGTAATTTTTTTTACTTCTTCGCTTGCTTGATCACATTGAAGCAATCATTATGGATAAGCCATTGACCACTGACTTTTTTCCAAATCTGCAAGTATGCTCCAGATTCAGTTCCACGAGTACCACTCAAATGATAACTTCCGCGTTCATATGCCCAATCACCACTACCATTTACTTCCTCCGTTATTACCTATAAGAAAAACTTGATAGGTTTTTTTAAATAAACAATTAAGTCAACTAGTAATCAAAATTTATGAAATGCCAATATGAACTAACATAAACAAAATTCACTACCTATATTTTAATAATTAGAAGACCATTAAAAATTGCTAAAAGAAAAAAAAAAGCAACAAAAATGCATGCATATTCCTTCAATTAAAACTTTTGACCAATTATTTTTATTTAATTTTTCAATTAAATCAAAAATATGGAAAGCATAAAACAAAACCTGACAACTCTTAACGCCTTCTGCCATATCTCGCTTGTAGTATGATTCGATTCCTAAATTAGTAAGAACTTTTTGACTTAAAAAAAAATTTTTTATCTTGAAAAGAACCAATTTTTTATCAAATTGAATAAATTTTAGCATTTAAATAGAAACCACAAATAGCAAAAATAATATAAGCCATGACGAATTAACAAATATAAGCACAACTAATTTGCTGTTGTGCCATATTCTCAAAACATAGCACTGTAGTCCTTTTGCTGCTCGAATTTCAATTAGAAATAAACAAGCTTATTTTAAGGTAAATTTATATTATATCCATGAAAGTTCATAGGCTGTAAAAATAGCCACCTGTTCGACCTTTGACTGGTTCAATGCCATTGGGCATGAAGTATCCCTCCGGATCATATAGTGCGGCAGCACCAGCAGCATCACCAGCATTAAAAGCTTTTACAAACTCTGCTTGACGAGATTTTATTTCTTGAAATAGCACTGAAAAACTTTATTGAAACATTCCGAACCACTATATGAATCAAATTTTAATTAATAACTTTATACAAATTTATATCTGCTGAACAAACTTTCGATATTCAGCTAAAAGAAACTTAAGAGATTAACCATAATTTTTTGATACAGAATACAATTAATCATTGATTTATTAACTACAATGTGATTCTGATTTGTTTATAGCTACTTATTCCATGATTTCGTGGATGTCATACAGTACAGATTGTCACTCTTTTCAAGTTGTTCTTAAAATTAACAAATAAAACAAAATTTATTTTTCAGTGACTGAAAATTTTTATAAGTGAAATATGAGTTTTATTAGTGAAAAAACTTCAAAACGATAAAAAAACACACACACAAAAATGCAAATTATGCAAATTAAAGCAGTTTAGAAAAATTAATGCAAATTCAAATACTTGTTTAATTTATTCGTTATACTGTTCTCAAAATTTCTAACTGAAAATTCATTCTTAATTATATAACTACTACTTTTATTATCAGAGCTCAGAAATTTAACTTTAAGTTTCTATTAAAATTAACGATCATAATACTAACAATCACGATAATAACAATAATCTAAAACGAACAATTGTTACATACATAGATCACGAGTATAAAAGGATCTTTGAGTCTTACTTCTCGAAGTTCAAAACCTTTTAGGAGTCAAAGGTTAGAAATTAATCAAATCAAAAGTAATTAGTAAATTACGCGAATTAACATTACAAAGAACAAATGAACCAAGCAGTGCACTATGGAAGAAATTTACTAATGATGAAAATACAAAAAGTAATCAAACTTACCACTCATGATGACCAATAACAGCAATGCTGATAATAATAACTGACGATGACAACCGTAGATACGTTAACTTTCGTCTAAACTACAATGAATAAACTAAATGATAAAAATAAGATTACTCAAGTAAGAATGAGACCCACATCTTCCTTTCAAGTACTTACTGCTTTTGACAGATTCTTTCACTACGCGAATATTTATACGTTAAATTGAGCATGAAAATTGAGCTGGGAAAATTACTTCATAGCAAATGCTGGCCAGTAAATTATAGCGCAAATAAGTCTAGGCCTTAAATAATACATGTACATTTTGTTTCCTGCATAATGCCAAAGCTAGTAAGAAAATTAGGATTATGTTTCTATTATTTACATACATTTACGCCTGTAAATAATAGCTGCATGCTTCAGCAAATAAATAAATTACTCATGAAAGCATATATTATTCGCTTACCATTCATTATTGAAGACAAAATCAATCTGTACTAGAAGCTACAGCACTACATCTTATATTTATTTTTTCCGTGCTCTGGATATAAATTCAAAATTATACTCGCATTCACTCCTTTTCCTGGTAAATAGAATCCGTTATCCAATCTTTGCAGCAATGAGATATTATTCCAAATGACTAAAAAAAACCAATTCCTTCCTAAGGTGTCATATTCCTGTCAAGTAAATGAAAAATTTCAGGGATAAATTATGACGAGAATATGGCCTTTTCAATCATCAAAAAGCTTTAAAAGTCCTAGACAGTCTCTAGCACCAAGTCTAATCTACAACTAGTAATAACTGCAACAAACTATCGAAGAATATAATTTATTCAGCTGTATATTTTGATCAATTAACAGAAGGACTCTTTGAATTACATAGATGAAAAAAACATTGCACTTCAAACATTTCGACTTCAGAGTTAACCAATCACTAATTCTGTATATATTTTAGGAATATTTAATAAACGAAGTATAGTTTACAAAACCAAACACTGCGTTAAAATACATGAATATAACAGTAACCGTCGTGCTCTTCGTTACATTAATCATTCATTTATGAAAACATAAACTGAGATTCTATCACATGAAAGTAATTAAGAAAGATCCATGTGTCACTATGGCACAAAAAAAATAACAAAAGTTATCAGAGAGGAATATTGCAGTACTGCCGCAGTAAAGACGAAAAAATTAGTTTTTAGCAAAATTACAAAACGGAGTTCTTCAATACTCATATACAGAAACAACTTTTTTTAATTTTCAAACAAGTTTCAATTAGAAATTAATGAAATGAGACAAATAAAAACCCTATTCAAATTTAGATCATTGAGCAATATCTTTATCCATTATTTCTGACATTTGGTCTGTTGTGTATACTAATAAGACGAAAAGTTAATTCAGTAATTAAAGTGAACAGAAAAAACCAAAAAGGTATCGCCAACCAAAAGACTTGAATCACGCCAAATTTCAATCGTATATATAGCAGTATTTCAAAAGTTATTTTGAATACCAGTAACGCTAAAAAAACTGTTAGCAGATATTCATATAATGATTTTAGAGAACTGAAAATTTAGTATGAAACTTCCAAACAAGAAAAATTGATTTAAGCTACATTCTGTTTTAACCCTTCAATCTTAAGATCGAAGGTTTGGTTGCTAAAAGTCAATTAAAAATCATTTCATGGTAAATTAGTCATAAAATTTTGTAGATTTTCAATTCACATATATTTAAGAACATGAGTATTACCTAAAACGACAGCAGAAGTACGTTTCTCTAAAGGATAAACGTATGCAGCAACCGGATAAGGAGCATTCATATCGTACTGCCTTCTTCCTACACCACAAATCTGATAATGTCGCATAATTTTGAGCATTATGATCGACAAGGAAAGAATATCGAAAAAAGACAAAATTACGAAAAATACCGACGGCTCACCATCTAAACCATTATCCTAAAAATATTACTTCAATAACAAACTCTATATATTTTTAAATATAATTTAGTGAATGAACAGTAACAACTAACCAGGTAAACAACTAGAAATACTAGAGCAAGTAGAAGTAACAACCATACAAATAATGCTCTATGTCCCGTACCCATAAAACCCGTCGAAGACCACACATTCGTGAAAATGGAAATTTCGATTGAATATATTACATCAAATTCTATAGAAAATAATTGTTAAAAATACTATATTTTACCAATAAAAGTGTAACAAAACTTTGAACTATCTAAAATTTTTCTTTTCATGCATTCTTCTGACATTGTTTTTAATCAAAAAACCGAGCTTTGTTGTGGACAATGGTCAGAGCGCACTGAATATTTAAATTGAGAACTTTAATACTGTAAACAAAATAAAAAAAAGCAGTAACTGTAATTATAAGAGTGAAAAATTTTTCTTAGGAAAAGAAAGATATACAAGAATAATAAATACATCATTTACAAAACTACAAGCACAATTTACAACATAAGACACAAATTCACTTAAACCAAAACCTCGAGATTAAAACTGCGGTAGGAATAAACTTCGTTTTTCGGGATGCATGCGAAAGTCGATATAGTGCGCCACAATCTTTAAAACACAGAAATTAATGGAAACAATCCCTACAAATCTTTTGTATCTTAAATGAACGCATATTTTTTAATATATGCACCTCACATAAAATATAATTCCAGTATGCGAGATAAAACTTACACTGTCTATTAATCATTCAATACGCAAAGCACATTTGAAAAATATCATAGTCTTGGAAAGTCCCACCTGAAAATCTGGGCTTAACCAGTAAGTTTTGGTTTGATGACAAAATAAAAATACATTTATCCAAGTTTTTATAACATTATATTACAGACATAAACCATTCAATGTGGCAAAAAGTATATTACTCATTCTGAAGACTCATCACATCATTTAAATACATCCTTATATTATGGTAAAAAGTTCCCACAAATATTACAGCACACCAGATAAACTTCAACTTCATGTTTACACATAATCTATAAAACAAAGCAGTACATGCAAAAACTGTAAAATAATCAAAATATAAATTACTGCCATCAAATACCACTATTTCTTGATCACTGAAAAATTCTTAACAAGCAAAAACAATTTTGAAGCTAATACCGGTGTCACTCCAGTACCTTAAGAAAAAATCCCAACTTTTTAACACCGCTGCTTTCACTAAAATGAGCTGCTTCCTAATTTAATAAGTTTCAGAACAAAATTTGAAACAAAACTGAGAATTGCACACTTTGCAAAGCAATCTTCCCAAAGGACCCTAACTATTTAAACTGCGTTGTTTATGTACCATAAACCTTTGTTTAACTAACACGGCAATAAATAACATAAGTTACGATTAAATTGTATTACGGAATACACAATTTGGTGTAACAAAGTTTTACTACTCGACAAAGAACTAGTTATATCGAAAACCAACAAGTGGAAAAACACAAGTTTTTATCTATAAATATTAGTGTTTACAGACAGACACAAACAAAAAACTACTGAGAACATTTACTGAGCGTCAGTTATAGGTCATAAACCCTTTCAAGATAAGTCTTCTTACAAAAGCATTAAAATTTCCTTGAATGCTTCAATTTCTATAACCAAAGTTTCTTATTATTTTTTAATAATGACAAGTTTATTAAATATCAGCAAAGTTTTTTAAACATGACATACAACATATCTACTGCTATCTACTACTAAATCTGTACCCTGATTCGTAAAAGTAAAAAAAAGTTGCAGAAGGAGACAAAATTTGAGGATTGAAATAACATCACAAATAAAGTGGTTTAATAACTATTACATCTGGTTTTTGACTGATTTTCATCAGCAAAATTTTCAGCAACATGATGATTGCTTCGAAAAGATTGCAGAAGCGAAACTTTGCCAATCCATAATCACATGTTCTAGGTCTGTTTACTTCAGTTGCAATAACATGCACACATCCAAGAATTTTCACTATTATCTGAAAACTCTGATATACAAAAAAACTTTTACAAATAAGTGATGAGTGAGAAAACGTCCTTCAATCTCTTCGAATAATTAATTTGGAAATGCCTTCAACGATAAAGACAAAGCCAGAAAATTTATATTGGATTCTGAACCAAAAAAAGTAAGATATCATTCAGACATAAGAAATAACAATTGAGACCAATAACTTAGCCGAAAAAATTGCCGAAGTAAGTTAGAAACCTTGAAATGCATGATTTCAAATTATAATTCTGAAATAAAAGTGCAAATTATTTGCTTTATTAAACAGGAAATATATACATTTTTAAATTATTATAGTGGAAAAAAATAAATTTCAGATTTTAAAGACATAAATACATGCAGATTTTTTGTTAAGGTGTAAATGAATTGTGAATGATACAGATAGATCGAATACAAAGTTTTCTCAGTCCTCTTTTTTTCCATATTTTACAGATTTGTATATTTTTAAAGTTTGATTACGCATAATGGCGTAATATGCTTTCTATGATTTCTGATTTCTGCAAATATTTGAAGAGAGAAACTTATTAAATCAAATCACAACTTTCAAAATCAAAAAATGTACCTTCCGATCACTTACCAATAAGTGTAATACACCATAAAAACTTTAATCTGATGGAAGGTTTGTTGGAATCAAAAATTGCTATTTTGAGATATAGAATGCTAACTGGTCTCAGTTTTACATGTCACGCAATAATAGCAGATGTAGTGATTAAGCCAGGGCAAATTTACCAATCCAATATTATAGTAAGCATCCATCTAAAATCTCAAATAATTATTTATTTTTGAAGTAAAACGAAAAGCTGTTCTGCTAGTCAAAAAAGTATTGAAACTCATACAAATGCCTCTTGCTATCATTCTGAACAACACGAAAATAAGATGAAAAGTAAATAAACGCATCAGACAGAAGTTTTCGCACCTCATCTTAGATTTTCCTAACCACTCATGAGAAAATTAAATTGTTTACAATTTTATAATAAATAAAACTGCTTCACCAAACTCTCATTCATGAACTCACAATTAAGAATCACTCAATTGAAAAGTCATCGTGGTGTTTACATAGCGCTTTTCTCCGTATAAGTTTCACGGTTGACCGATGCCATCATTGATGCACAAAGCAGTTTGAGTTTAGGTTTGAAATTCTATTCTTGGCGGGAGGATATGTGTCTTCAAAGTAATGCAGTGATTCAATAATGGTAATGGCTCAGTCCTGGATCTTTTTTTATCTTTGACTTACTTAACGATATTTGCTGTTAAAACAAGAGAGTTGATAAAATGTCAATTTTTAGCAGTGAGTAAGTAACAGGTTTATTGCTGATCGGCTGCAAATATCTATCGGCATATGCCTTATTTACTTCCATATTTTTTGAGATAAATTATTTTGATCTGATAAAAAAGATCAAAACTTTGCAAAGTCAATCATAAATCAATTTTTTAAAATGACTTGCAGAAAAATAATATTTACTTAATATGTAGAGGGAATAAAGAACTGTTTTATTTGTTTGTTCTTCTTTTGTCTAATTTATTTGTACTTACGCGTAATTTTCTGTATATTTTATTGATTGCATGATATTTTATGAATTCTATTTTAATTAATAATACTTCAAAAAAGTAAATTGATAATATAAATGTGCTACCAGGTGTAATGGATTATCTGCTGGATTCGTATATATTTCGGCTTTTTCCATTTGAAATTCATCCGGATACTAAACAAAATATTGTATCAGCGGCGCTGAAGGTTGTTGCAGTAAGTTGTCCTAAAAATTTTCATCGTCTTGTCGTTATATATAAAATTGGTTTTTGTAAAAATTTTATCATTTTTCGAAATTCTAGCTAACAAGGCACCGATGTACCCCATATGGTGTAACAAGGTTCTTCTTAATATTAATCATCAAAAGATTGAAGCTTTGAACATATTATTAAATTGCTAACAGGTAGCAGATTGGTGGTGTAAAACTCAGGATCCGCAATTGATGGCAAATAATCATGCTACTTTAATGATATCAGAATTCACCTATGCACTGCTTTGGTTATTATCGCTAACATTCGGTAATATTTTTCATTAGAAGGAAGTTAATTTAAGGCATTAATTGCATGAAATCTAATTTTCAGTTAATTGAAGGTATAACGTTAAATTATCGTTTAATGATAATTTAGTGTACTTGTCAGTATTAAAATTAGTGTAAGCGAAAACTTCATCAGAAGACTTGTTACTGACTGTGACTTACTTTATGTTCAATAATCCGGAGCTTTTAGCCTTTCAACATGGTGCACGTTTTGCATACACTTGGGTTGGTATTCAATTTCTTGCTTTTTTTACCGAAAGTATGATGTTTTTGGATGATAGTTTAAATGTAGTGTGGCACAGTCAAACGATGATAACATTTATGGGCATGCGTACGCCACTCTATATTTTATTTGGTGTTTACCACACGTTATTTTATACTTCATATGTATTGGTAAAAAGGTACTGTCCAGATTTTTCTTTGATTTAGTTTTTTCAGCTGCTTATTTTTTTACTTTTTTCGATAATATTTGATTATTGAATTTTACTTACGATTAGGGAAATTAATTTTTTTAGAATCTCTCTTCAATGGTGGGGAGAAGCAGCTCTGAACGGTATTTTTGTCCTTGTATTATCTTTACCTTTTCAAATAATGGGAACGAAGTTGCTGTGGTGGCAATGGCATGACACTGATCCGCGCCTTGCTAATACGTAAACTTTTTGTTGTTGGCACTGAGTTATTTTGTAAAGACTTTCAGTATGTAGAAGAAAAATTGTTTGGCAAGTTATGATGTATCAGTGTATGAGTATTATTTAAATATCTGAAAGTTAATTTTCTTGCCTCATTTTTTATTTGTCTTTTTTTATATTTCATTAGATTGAATTTTTTTTACTCTTGAAGATTTTATTCGGTACCAGTAGCTATATGGATGTGGTATACAATGTTAGCTGCATCATTCAATGCCAGTTTATATTTGTTGCGAAATATGTTTCTCAACGAAAGATACAACTGGAAAAGGTTACTGAAATTTCATATTTATTATCTAAAGCAAGAATTGTCATTGTTAATGTTTTGCACTTTCAGACATTTTGTATTATGTATCTTATTAATTGATATATGCATTTGCTCTATAAATTTATAGCACTTCAATCTAATAGGCTTATCCATAATATAAGCAGAAAATTAGGAGATATATGCTTCAATTTATGTGTGCTTAACATTAATGCTTCACCAGTTTCAGATTGAAAAGGAAACTGTGAATTTTGTAAAGTATGAAAAAATTTCAGGTTTACTGCTGAACTTTTCTGCGTTATTGGCGCGGCTTTCCTTGCACTATTCATTGCCGCAATGCAGTATCTTTTTTTCTTCACAATCTTGCAAAATATTTTCAAGGTTAATAACCTTTTATGTGTTCGCTGTTCAGTTTTTTTATTTCAGTGATTTAAAATACCTATATATATGTTTTTAGATTTACTCTGGTCTGTCATCAATATTTCTTATTATTTGCTATGCAGCGACAACAGTACTAGCATTTTACAAAGCTAAGGTGGAAAATAATTTTTATCACACAGGTTTGAAAATGTAATTTTTAAAGAACCAGCTTTTTTATGCTTAAAAATTTGGCTTGAAATCTGTAAGGAAATTTTATTTATTTTCAATCAAGTACTTTAGGATATTCAATTCATCCATCTTGCTAAGTCCTTTGTTTGGAAGTTTTCATAACTGATTTTTGCAGAGATAAAAGCAGTCAGCAAAGTTTCACCGAGCTCTAAACAGCTGCATATATCAAGCAGATGTTTAAGCATAATCGTGGTGCACCTTTTACTTCATATGTTATTGGTAGTTTTCAGCTCTCCAGAGAATGTTATTTCCGAGGGCATACATCAAGCTATTGGGCCATGCAAAGAAGTTGAGCATATTTTTTCATTTTCGAATCAGGTATAATTTTAAACTATTTTAGAATTCTATGTTTTTTCAGCGAACGTTATGTAATGCATTCATCTGATCTTTGCAAAACAAACTTGGGGTCAAAATTAATTGCTGCTGCCTTAATTTTAATAAAATCTTAAATTCTGATTTCTTTCAAATGAGTTATCGTTTCAGATGTTGTACCGTCAAAAGTATATGTGTTTGGAAAAATATCAACAAAAGTTGTTTGACTTTCATTGCATACCCGGTGGACAAATATCACGCTCAATTGATGAACCGTTAGAGTACTATGCAATCTGTGGCACAAGTTTTGAAAATCGATCACTTTATATAGTTTTTATATGGTTTGCTTTTTAAGAAACTAAATATGCATTTTTTGAAGAAGTGTTTGTGAGTGGTGATTTTAAGTCTCTTATAACTCGATTATGTAAGAGGCAAATGTAATTAAGAAATATATGATTTATTTTCAGGACATACTGCATAGCCGTTATTTTCGTGATGTTTGTGATCGTCTACATTACAGCAAAGGTAATGTTTCGAATATTCAGAATTGAATAGTGATTAAGATACATTATTTTTCAGATGGGTACACGATCAAATGGATATTTATACTCTAGGATCATGGAGAATTATGATCACAAGTTCGGGTTTACATCGTCACAGGATTGCAGTTCACTGGAGAGAAAATATGATGATAGGACTAAATATTTAGCTAGAAGTGATTGCACCGCGCGGTACCGGTCAAGTGTTCCAGATTTGGGTGGAAGAAGTTCACGATTGCCCACACCTACTCGCCTTTCAAGCCGCTTGAAGAAATAACATGTGATATTACAAAAAAAGTCTTCATTTGTTATTGAATAGAGCATATATTTCTTGATTCATAGTTATACTTCTTTATTTTGATGAGGATTTTCGGTAGTTTTGATGTTAACTGAAAATTTAGAAATTTGAAGTATTCTTTTCCTTAACTTTTAATTTTTAGACTTTGTAGGATTAAATTTTGATTTGAAAAATTTTTTTAGAAAGCTTATACACAACTTTTTTTATAATAATTCTGTGTTGTAATGTTTCTTGGTTTAATAGCTTGTAATTTCACCCACATCCTGACTTGTAGTCCCTGGTATATCTGGTAGGTTTTTTCAGGATTTTTTTCCCATTAATTCTCATTTTGAAGCATTATAAAATATGTAAAGACACTCATTTTGCATGTATTAGCATTAGATTCACTGTGTGCTTTTAATTTATCTTTTAATTATGGAGGTAAATCGTTAATTTTGCACTGTGCATACACTATCTCTGGATGCACGCTTCTGGAACATATTTTGAAAAGGTTGATTCTATTTGTGAGTATCTGATACTAATAGTGGTTTTTTGCTTTTTCTTTCATAATTTTCATATTTTTTTAAGTTCCTGTAAAAAGTGTATTTCTATGAGGCCAATAAAATTGATTGTTGCTGAAGAATGCTTGGTTTTCTATCATTATTAACGCTGGAGAACGTAGCAATTTTTACAATCCTCTGCTTTTGTCGCAGTGATCTTTTAAAGTAACTGACTATAGGTTTTATCAAGGATTTGTTATTATATATCTTATTAAGGTTCTCAAAATATGGTGCAAAACATTACTCGAGCAGAGTTATGTGCCAGAAGAGGTGTGATATTGGTAAGTAACTTGATTGAATAAATACGCAAGTGATAAGAGTTTAGATAAAATCCCGTTGACACAATCAAAGAATGTAAACTAATATAGACGACGTAATGCAGCAGTGCGTATATTTGATCATTATTTTGTTGATTTTTAGAGATTGTTCTAGTTGATATTTTCAGTTTGAAAAATATCGAGCTCGCATAGTGCATTCGTCTGATTTGCCTGTAATTAAAGATATGTCATGGATGATGGGAAAAGAAATTGTGGTTATCGGTCATTTCTTGGAATCTGAGGATAATAACCTAACGGTAAGTTGCGATGCTTAGTATAATGTTTCTAATTTTCGAAAACTTGTTATTATTAATAAAATCTGAATAGAGCAGTTTTCATTTTTTAAATCAAATAATATCTCTCTTTGATTTTACACTGCTCTATTCTTGAAACAGTAAATAGTTATGTATGTTAAGATTTCACGCGGAGATGTTTCGGTCATAAGTGAAAAAAAGCATCGCCAGAATCCTGGAGATAGACTAGGTTTTGGAGAACTTGGAAATCACACATCCGCAAATAGTCAAGATAGAGATGACGGAGAAGAAAGTGAGGATGCAGCTAATGATTCGGAACATAGCGCGTCACCATTAAAATATGAATTTCTTACTTTATCGAAATTACAGGTAGTTTCATATAACACATTAAGGATTATTTTGAATATATTTGCTACAAGTAATATACAGTTATATTTTGAATCCTGTGTTTACTGGGAGTAAGTCATGATGGATTTAATAACTCCAAATATATTTTTCTTTTTGATTTGTATTTCTCATATTATCTGCATTCAATATCAGGCCGAAAATGATCCGAAATTCGTTTTCAATGAACAGAATATCTGGTTTGATATGAAACATATTGTTCGGTCATGCATGTCCGCATCAGAAGCACGATCTCTTGCGGGAAGGTATCTGTTTACTGAAGAATGTGAACATAAAAATTCCTATATTTAGTGGTTTTTATTACAGTTTGTTCGAATTCAGATTTGCTATTGATGGTATTCCATTTGATGTTCCGGACCCAATAATTTGGATACCATGTGATGCTACTGATCCTCTTCATACTTTTTTGCTAGGTTTTTGTAAAACAAATGAAGGGAAGGCAACATATCATGTCGGCTTATTTCGTTAGTTTTAAATAATTTTTTAGTATCAAAATTCAAAAATAAGAATGAAAAACTATTTGTTTTATAGCTCACTAAAGAATTACGAGAGTGGTATTTCAGAACAAAACCACATGGGTTTATTCAAATTTTTAGAGAATCATATGCAACGCTTCTATGGTCTGCATAAGGTATGTAAGAAGCGAAATATTCATTAGTGTAGGAAACATTCTGTCATTTATAAGTTTTTGATCTTTTCGATGGGTGTATAAATTTCGAAACATTTTTTCCATTCACTTCAAAAATATCTTCTAGAATCATCGACAGCATTGGTAAATTCAGGTTTATGCTGACACAGCGTATTGCGTTTACGATGTTCTTCCGAAAATAATGACAACCGAAGTGAACCAAAGAGGGATATCTGCATTTGTGGACCTTTATGTGTCTTGGAAATTTCCTTGTGCAGATCAATGCTCCGTCAGAATACTTTCAAGACCTATTTCTACAGCTTCAGTCATTGCAGTATGTGCTTGTT